CCGATTTCGACTTCAGCGACATCTATTCCTGACGTTTAAATTGATAATAGCGACATCTATTGCCTCTTAGAGTAAAATTAAAATTGCTTTATGGTTCCACAAAACTTCTGATTTTTTGCGGACTCTGCCTCCTGTAGGTGTGTTACAGGTGTACAAAATATTAGTACATTTAGGGCATGTCCCACCAAATTGTAAATAGTCTGAAAACATCCAACGTGTAAAAGTAATGAATATATCGGATTTTGTTCCCTTATCTGACAGTGACGTTTTTTTAGCTATCTGAGCCTCTATCAGCAAGTGCTGGGACAGGCCCTTTACTACCGACCGTTTTCCCTTCCATCCTTCAAGTCCATATGGAGCTTTATCCAATGCTTCTAACGACAGAGTCCCCGCCCAGGGTAGAGACGCCGCGGCATCCGCTGCCAACCCTCGAGGACGTTTGCTGACACGTGTACTGGAAAAAAATATTATATTACACGCATTGAACGAAACATGGCGCTGTTTTTAATTTTTTAAATTATCATCAGAATTGAGAGAAATTGTAGATTATAGCGACTGACCTTCTGATGGTTAGCAGCTCAGTTGCAGCACCTCCACTCCACTCACTAACGCAGCCCCATACTTCATCCCCTAGCTCTAACGAAACCCCCGGGCCAGCGTCTAATACTACACCTAGAAATAATAAAGTAACTATATCAAGAACTATTTTTGCCAATTAGTTTTGATGTCTGAAGCTATTTTGATTTCGATTAAAATAAAGTGAATTACGATCGAGAACAAATAGTAGGAAATAAATCGAGTGAGTTAAATGTTTCTAATCGAAAATTAACAATTGGCTGAAAATTTAAATAATCCTTATTTATTTATGTTTATGGGCTTGTAATTTCTGTCATTTTTAACTATTTATTTACTTTCTGAATTAAATTGTGTGAAAAAAGCCTACAGCATGTCTTGCATGTTGGGATTTTTTATGAATAAAAGAACAATTCAAAAATATGCTATGATTGCTTTATCAAAGGCGTAGTATTTGTCTCACCAGCGAATCCCCGTCCGATAGTAAGCGGTGAGCGTGTAACGAGCGGGCGCAGCGCGGCGGCGCGCCCGCGGAGTACCGCGCGGTCGCACGCACACACACTGAACGCCTGCACACGTATCAGTACCTCGCCTGGACCCGCCCCTTTGCACAAACACAAGTTATCGGTCATTTATCGTATAATAACCACAATTTGTATTTATCTTTTAGTTGGTATAACTGTTATTGTAATTGTTAATCTCTTGTTTTTTTATAAAATGATTTCTATTTCTATTTCTATTATGAAACATTACAGTAAATTCAAATAAATAAAGCTAGAATTTTGTCCCGCGACAGTTTAGGGAAAATAATCAGAAATATCATTAACGTAATAGTATAAGGCCTCTAAAAGTATAGTGTAAATATTTATTACATTTAGTAAATATTAAAAAGTAAAAATAAAGTTAAATCAAGAACCAGAAAGTTATGAAAAAAAACATACAATATAAAATACAATCAAAAAGAAATAGTAACAAGTGAGTACAAAATGAGATACGATCGAGAAGAAAAGAAGAGAGAAGAGTAGTGGCTAAATAAAAAGAATACAAAATCAGTAGTTATTTTCAGGTTAAAAATATTCAGAACTAGCTGTTACTTGTGACTTCGTCCGTAACGGATAAAAAAAAAACCTATGTTACCTACTGATAACGTAGCTTTTTAATAGTAAAAGAATTTTTGAAATCAGTCCAGTAGTTTTTGAGTTATTTCAATACATACAAAATTCTTCTTAATAGATTAGTATAGATAGAACTATAGTGTGTATAGAGTCCAAACCTGGTGTTACAGCGTCATCTACGAGCAGTACCGTTCTATCGGGCTGTGCGAGGAGTGCGCGGGCGTGCGGGCCCGCCGGCGAGCGGCCCGCCGCGCGCAGCCCCAGCACCAGCCCCGCGCCCCCGCCCACCAGCGCGCCGCACGCGAACAGAGCCACGCTACGACGCCACACTGCACCGAAATATACCTTTTTTGTTACCCGAGGGGAATGCTTTACGCATACTCCGTGCCCAGAGGAACGAGGTAGTTATGTGGGACTCTCCCCCCTTAATGGGGGGCATAGCTGCGTCTGTTGCCATTGGCGGCACCCTCAATATATTGTAATACACCTAATAATATCCATAACCCATAACCCTTGTGAGATTGCTTTTTTGGAAGAAAAGAAAAAAATGAGCAATTTCCCTTGACTTTTTGATTTTGAGACCCTGGAGATCCCAATGAGAACAAGCGTAGCAGACATAAAGGTGTTCAGTAGCTGTCAAGAAGGTAATTGAACTTAGCTCAAAGCTGAGGTGGACCAAGTTGATGCAATGTCTTGACCCACTTCAGAGTTGTGTCCTATGGGACAGTAAGTCAAGTCCGTAATTTGTAACTCTAATCAGTACCAACCTTTAGGCAAAAAATTACAACTACCAATGTCAAAATTGTAATGTTCAAATGACAATGAAAGTGCTTGTAATTGGGCCTTGGCTGAAAATTTAAGTAACCATGGCAACCTTGCTTCTTAGGTTAATTTTTTCCCCTAAAATAGCCTAAAGCATTTCATAAAAAGATGGCATTCTAAAACATGCCGTGATTGATGTAATTTTATATAAAGAAGTGTGTGTTTCTGCATTATATTATTAGATATATAAATTCAAACTTACTTCTATCTTTGAATAAAGCCACCAGTTCTTCATACAACAATACGGGTGATAGGGGAGGAGCGCCATCTTTGATCCGCTGAACTGCATCCTTCGTCCACACAAGAACTCGTTCTCTACTCTCTACAAACAACTCATTCTGCCATAACTCTTGAAAGGCTTCACGTATCTGAAAATTATTAAATTAAAAAGATTAAAAAAATCAGCACAGGTTCCGGCTCGAAGGACCACCGGACACACTGAACTTTACGAATACCATAAATTAACAGTAATATTATAAATGTGAAAGTTTAGATGGATGTTTGAGTCTGTAACCTAAATAGCTGAACCAATATCGATGAATTTTAGCTTAGCCGTAGACGTCTGGAAGAACAAATAAGCTACTCACTTTTTTTATTATTCCACGCGGACGGAGTCGCGGGCGAAAGCTAATGATTACATATAAATTTATACTAAGACAACAAAAAGAAAGAAAAACGATGGTGACCACATGCTGTCCAAATGTAATCCCAGGGTTGGTATAGTCATAACATTGCCTATGAAGTTTAGTCTTTGTGTAAAAGAATTTTATAAGTCAACAGGGGTAGAGTTCAATGGCATTAGCTATATGAATGGTCCATACAACATACCACAACTATAGTATTTGCTATAGTATTATCTGATGAGTAATAACCCTAAACAATACCTAGGTACAGTAACAGTTTGGCCGAAACAATTGGCCCAGCGTAACTCTAAACTAAGTCAAGGATCTTAGATTGAAATCCAGCCAATAACAAAACTAGACAAACCGATCATTTAAGATGCTGTTATATCATACTAATATTATAAATACGAAAGTTTAGATGGATGGATGTTTGTTACAGTTTGTAGCCTAAACAGCTGAACGGATTTTGTTGAAATTTGGTACATGTGTAGAGGATAGTCTGGTAGTATACATAAGATACACACTTTTGTTTTTTATTTAATTTCACGCGGACGGACTCGTAGGCGAAAGCTAGTATTAAATATTAGAGTATTAATGCAGTTTATCTTACCCTTCTAACAAGTTCAGTTGTTTGTGAAGCGACATCCTGTACTCTATTCTTTCCTCCATTTGCCGCTGCTTTAGCTGCCTCCTGAAATAATATTAACACATCTATACTAACATTATAAAGAGGCAAAATCTGATACTAAGAAACTACTGGGCCAATTTCAAACATTCTTTCCGCCCTTGAAATGCTATGTTATCAGTGAGTAACATAGTTTATATTTTTTATTATTTTTAAATTCACAAGTATAAGTTGTGAGCAACAGCTAGTTAAAAATAAACTGACATTTTTTGGTAAATAATGTAACATTAATTAAAAAAAAATAGTGACTGAAATTTGAACTTTGTATTTCACTGTTTTTTAGAAATTCAATTCTTATATCTACTGTAGATTTTTCATCGTGATGTATTATGTCCTATGACATTCCAGAGAAGAAGACAAATCAAACGATACCTAACTCATCAATATAGGTTCAGTCATTTAGGTTGTAAGCACACAATGGAATTTACATACAAAGATACCCACTTATATAAAAACAAATAGACATATGCGCAAAAACCATTACAATCTGTCAGGTAATAAGGATAACTATGATTAATATTTAAATTTCCTTATATTAACATTTTATTTGGTTAAAGATTTATTTCAGGACAGTAATAGATTCATGTTTTTTTTGGTGGGAATTAAAGTTATAACAATAAAGCTATCATATTGGGAAATAATAAAGTAAAGAGGATATACTTAATAAGGGAGTGAATTCAGGTAGCTATTAGAAATGTATGGATGAGCACATACTGTGCCGACCCTCCGTAGGGACAAGTGTAAGTTGTTGATAGGCAAATACTAAATTCTTTTACTAAAAGTTTGTGTACAGCCATAATAATGGAAATAATCATTAAAATCGAATTAACAAACTAAAAACAATAATCCATTGGAATTTAAAATTATACGGAATCTTTAAAATTAAGTGCAAAAATTAGTTACATAAGTTTCATGGTCATTTCTTTGCAACTAGGCCAATGTCATTGAATTGATGACAAAACAAATTACTACATTACACTAAATTAACTAAAAATGCAATTAAAAACAATCTTAAGACCATTCACGAAGAAATGTAAGGTTCTATTTCATTTTCTCGCTAAGCTTGATATGGTTAAGAAAAGTTGAATTTAACTCACGTGAAGTGCATCGAATTTCTCCCCAGCTCTTAATTTAAATTCGTCCATGTCAGTAGCACGTTAGGCGGGAACTTCTTTTCCCGAATGGATTTAACTCATGCTCAAAACCTTAACCTTTGGACGGAACCCAACCAAATTTTCGCATTCTCAAAATAGATCATAATCCCCATTATACACCCTCGATATACTTAAACATGCGTTACAGTCTCTGTAGGAACTTCATTCTTTTATAATTAAACATAAATTAATATACTAAATTGTTTCATATTAGAATTATTTGTTTCTTTCCAAACATAACCCCTCTTGTACAAACGCAAACATCTGTAAAAAATTGTCAAAATTGACATTGGCAGTTGATTGACAGTTATTCAACTTGTGACTTTACGTTCCTAATCATGCAATAATCAAAACTAAAAGTGTTCACGTAGATATTCAGCTTTCAATATTTATAAAAAAGAGGAAAGAAGAAAAAAACAACTTTACAACAATGAAGTAGCTTATATTTGTAAGATACAATTTACTTAATCTGTATTAATAATATCTAGGGGTATTTCATTTTCGCCGCTGTCAGCGCTCTCATACGGCTCCGGTTTACCGTTTAGTATTTTCTCAATCCATGTTCTGCTGAAGGATACCTGGAAAGTATATTTATATTCAGTATTTTAGGAAGCTAATTTTCATGACCTATATCGCCCATCAAAATTAAGGAACGGTGTTACCAGATTGTAGCAAGATTTACCTTGGCAAATATTCCTGGTTTGGATTTGTAAGCGCATTCCTCTGTGCCGGAGAAGAGTGCAATCCCATACAATGTGCCAGCACGGTTCATGCCGCTAAAATGTACAGCTGGATCTCCAGTATCGCCCTGCAGAAAATACGAATGGCAGCGACATCAAAATCTAGATATTTTGTTAGCATCTATTGCTGCTAACCGAATATAAATATCGTCATTTTACAACCGAGAGAAGGTATTTTATAAAGTGCAAAAATCTACAGTAGCATATGTTTATGGGCAGCAATTAATTTCTCTTGATGGCAGATCGCCGCATTCTTGTTTGCCTTTTACAAAAAAAAAATACTAACAGCACACAAAGCGACACCTCTAGTGACGCTCTGCAGACAAATGTGGTCGTGTTGCAAATGGTAATCGTTGCCGTACATCAGCCGGCACTCCGCCCGCGGTACTTCCCTCACTATCATACGTCGAAGCTCCTGGTTCTCACCTTCTCTGATCTGACCTGTCACCTGTAAAATCAATTTACTTAAATTCAGTTCTGTCTGCACAAGTCGCTTACCCGAAAGCCTCCAAAGGTCTTCGAATTACATACCTCTTATGTATTACTAGAGCGGACGTACACCTTTGACTAAACAATCGCAAACGGTTGTGCGATTGTCGATTGTTTCGCAGCCAAATCAATAAAAATCGAGTACTGCGCACCTCCATATAAGCTCATAGAAATCAAAGCGAGACTAAACAGTTGTGCGATAGTTTAGTTTCAGGTTCCACGCTCTTATGTCTTTGAAATAATAAAGAACACTTACAACAGATCCGTATCCAGTAACAATTGTCTCGCCAAACATGAACGGAAGAGATGTTTCTGCAAGCGGTAGAGTCACCGCTTGTATTCTGTTGTTGTACGTAATTGGAGCATTTACCTGTAGACATATATTTATGCAAGTATATAAAACAGATTATTTAATTAAAAGAATGTTATTAAAAGCTGCGGTTATCTTAATACATCGAAATTACGAAACGACAGCTACCCATAGACATCTGCTACCGCAGATGAGATCTTTAATCGAACGAAGGGACGCCACATAAAGGATATTTCCGCTTCCTACGCGTTCTCTCCTTCGTCTTATACACTAGAAGGAAAGGGTGGAAAGGGAAAGTGGATTATTAGGCCTTTAACATGTATACTCGTCAGAGTGTACGCACAATGTCTTCCAGTTGCTACATGTCTTCTGTGTAGTCATGGTATACCACCAGGCGTGTTCCACCGAGCAATACTGGATTACAGACTTCTTTATCTCTACCCTAGATTATTTATTATCACAGATAATACATTACTATACTAGTAAAAACTAGTAAAATCCTTATTCATAATATTCAGTCGAAGGAACCCCATCTGGTGTTGCCATTTGTTTATTTAATTTACCGTTTAATGCTGTTTTATTGTATTTGATTTATTTAACTACGAAATTCGTATCATGACAAAATATTTTTAGAACTTAAAAGATTACTCAAGCTTATTCTACGTCGAAACAAAAATGTATATCATGCAATTGTTACGTAGAAATTCTATGACAAAAGCGTTACTATTTCCAAAATGAAAGGGCTTGAGGAATAGAGTATGATACTATATGAAAAATACAAAATGGCCGCCGCCACAAAAAGACGAATAATAGAGCATAAACAATAATTCAAAAATATATTGCTAAAAGTAGCTTTCGCTCGCAACTCAGTCCCCTCCACAAGGAATTAAAAAAACAAAAGCAAGTAGCTTATGTATTCTTCCAGACTGTTCTCCACATCTATGCCAAATTTCATCGAAATCCGTTCAGCAGTTGAGGATTCAAACTTTAACAAACATCCATCCAAACTTTCGCATTTATAATATTAAGTTAGTAAGATTTCCTTTTTTTCGTGAGGAAATGCCTTACGCGCACAACCCTTGCAGGGACAAGGGTGGTTAAGTCGGATTTGCATTTAAATAGTTGCTCTAAGTAAATAAGAATTTTGATACTAATTATTAAACGGCCAGCACTCACGTCTCTTTTTCTGTTGAGATACGTGGTTGCTAGCCTTTAAGGATGTTTCAGAGAGGTTTAAACAATTTTAGAATTTTGCTTTTTATATTTCCTGCACCTTTAGACAGTTTTCTCAGTTCTCAGTTCTTACCTTGACCATGGCAAGATTATGTTCAGGATAGTATTGATCCATCTTGTAATCTGGATGTCTCTCGACGTTTGTTACAGCGAGAATACGGCCTCCGAAGTCACGGAACACGGAGCCCATGCGGACCGTCACTTCTTCTTTTGATACGCTAAATATAAAGATATTTTTAATTTTAGAGGAAAAAGTAGCTTTGTTATTATACAGATTATAAAATCAAAACTCAATTTTTTTGCATTTCTTAGACCATTTTAACATTAAACGGTTACTTGCGTAAGTTCCCGCGCATTCTACTGAGCAACACTATTACAGTTTCGCGGGCTAGTGGAAATTTTAAATACAGCGGTAGTTTAGAATTAAATAGGTCTTAGATAATATCCTTGCAGCGATATCGCGCATATTACAACCAATATAAAATAATAATTACTTACTAATCAAAACACTGCGCTGCCGTGAGAACCCACTGCTTCCCCACAATTGCTCCTCCACACCAGTGTTTGCCGTGCAATCTGTACACACAAGCAATGTTTATACTTGCACAGATATCTAATTAAAATAAAATAC